TTTTTTTTTTGCTGCAGTTTGGCCAGGGCTGGGTTTGAACCCACCACCCTTGGTATATGGGGCCCGTGGCCGGCCCTACCAGCAGAGCCACAGGCACCGCCCCGCCAGAATGATCTTTTAACAACAAATCAGATCATGTCACCCTCCTGCTCTAAACCACTAATGACTTCCATCACATTTAGAATAAAATCCAAAGTTACGTCTCCGCAAATGCTTATGTGTGTGTTTTACTTGCTACCACACACTGAGACAGAGCTGTCTCACTCTGCTCAAGCAACATGGTCTCCCTGAGGCTTTCTCAATCCTGCCAAGTATATCCCCCTCTCAAGTGCTTTGAGGTCCACAGGAGAATGTTTTCCTCTCAGATACTCCTAGCTCATTCTCTCATTTTAACGAAGGTTCTGCTCAAATGTCACTTCTACAAGGCCTTCTCTGATCTACCTTGTCATCTCTCCTTACTTTGTTTTCACAGCACTTGTTACTACCTGACATCATGTTGCTTGTTTACTTAGTGTAAGCTCAATGAAGACTTGGCTTTTACTCCTCCATCCTTAGCATCTACAGTAGCATCAGATATACAGTAGGTATTTAAGAAATATTTATAAATAAATAAATGTTAGATTCTTCCCTCCCCCTCTTGCTCTCATCTCAGGGCACAGAACCAGAGGGCTCACCTGTAAATGTCAGCCAGTGACCTGATGCAGATATAAATACCAGCTATGAAAGGGTTGACTACCTAGGAGAATAAGATCCTGGGAAAATCCTCCTGAAATGGAGACAGAGCTCTCTTTTAAAAATACCATACTTTATGGGTTGCTATTATTAGCTTATAGTTAGAAAACACAATTCTTGGAGGAAAAACATGAAATTATATTATATAAATGAAGAAAAAGGTAAATCCACTAAATACTTGTGGTTGATTGAAATATTTGCGGTCTTCTAGCGGAAGAGACAGCCTTAACACTGCTGTGTGACTTTCAGTGTCATCCTGTAGGCATTTTCAGGCTTTGCTATAATCTAGTGATGAGTTTTCCCTTCTTTCTTCAGACACATGTCATATTGCAATCACAAAGCTTAGAAACATGAGTCTTGCTTTGGCATATAAGTGACGGTGACAATACAACAGTTCTGGGTGGAAGCTTTAAAGGTCATTGTGTGTGGCACTTGTGGCTCAGTGGGTAGGGCGCTGGCCCCATATACCAAGGGTGGCGGGTTCAAACCCAGCCCCAGCCAAACTGCAACAACAACAAAAAAATAGCTGAGCATTGTGGCGGGCGCCTATAGTCCCAGCTACTTGGGAGGCTGAGGCAAGAGAATCG